TTTTGGTCCAGTAACCCGCTGCTCTGGTTTCATCAATTGGAATCACAATTCGCACTCAACAACATAACTGTGGATTCCACAAAATATTTCTATGTGACGTCGTTTTTGGACATTAAATGCTTGCAAGAGGTCGAGGATGTTATACAAAATCCTCCTGATACTGGAAGATACGAGAAGATCAAGGAGGAGCTAATACGGAGGTTATCCAGATCGCAGGAGCAACGGATTCAGCAGCTCCTGGAACATGAAGAAATTGGCGATAGGACACCTTCGCAATTTTTACGCCATCTCCGCAACCTGGCTGGGGATATTAAAGTGCCGGAAAATTTCCTGAGGACGATCTGGATGAATCGACTGCCAGCATCAATGCGGACCATCCTCGCCACGCAGATGGATGCATCTCTCGAAAAGATGGCGGAGTTGGCTGATAAAGTCAACGAAATTACGCCTATCGGCAAATGTGCAGCCGTCTCCACGGACACCCGATTTGAATTATTGTGCGAGCAAATGGCGCGACTAACTCAGCAAGTCGCGGAGCTCGCGAAGCACAATTCCACGCAGCGTCCTGGGAGATCTACTTTCCGCGGACGGAGGAAGTGGCGGAACTACGGCCGCAGCTCCAGCCGAAGCCGGAACAACAGCCGCAGCCCCAGCCCGTCGCAGCCAGGTGTTTGTTGGTATCACCGAAGATTTGGCGACAGGTCAACAAGGTGCACCATCCCCTGCACGTATCAACAGCAACATCAGGGAAACGAGGCCGATCGACCTTAGATGCGGCAGAAGTCGTCGATCCTACAACGAGCCGCCTATTCGTAAGCGATAGAGTAAGCAAAGTAGAATTTTTAATAGACACGGGCGCCGATATCCGATATCAGCGTTTATCCGCGTAAATTAGTTAAGGGACATCCTCCCAAAAGTACATACACTTTGTATGCCGCGAATGATTCGACCATCTCAACGTATGGCGATATCGTTTTAAATCTAAATTTAGGATAGCGGCGAATTATCAAGTGGAAATTTATAATCGCGGATATCACAAAACCAATAATCGGCGCGGATATGCTTAAGTATTACGGCTTGTTGGTAGATTTAAGGAATAAACAGCTAATCGACACTGAAACAAAATTAACGTCACGAGGAAAATTGGGGATTGCCGATTTAAATTCGGTCAAAACAATTGTCAGTGACTCTCCATACCATAAAATCCTCACAGAGTTCATAGATATCACCATTCCCACACGTACACATACAGGCACAAAACACAACATTACACACCACATTAAAACGACTAAGGGACCATCCGTGTTTTCGAAACCACGTAGGTTAGCACCTGATAAATTAAAAATAGTAAAAGAGGAATTCGAGCATCTTTTGGCCGAAGGTATAATTAGACCTTCGAAAAGCCCGTGGGCTTCGCCTTTGCATTTGGTTCCTAAAAAGGACAAAGGTTGGAGGCCGTGCGGGGATTACCGAGCACTAAATGCACGTACAGTACCTGACCGTTACCCTTTGCCCACGTATCTTGCGACAATAAACGATGACTGTCGATCGACGCCGCAGTCGTTCAACAGATCATCGTTGCATGGCAACCGTTCACGACGTATGCCTCGCGATCGAGAACGAAACCGCGATCCGTGGCCAGTCTAACAATGTCTTCTAATAAAATACAATATAATATCGATTCCTCAATTCGGATACCTTATAATGAGAATATAGCGTATCGTTAAACATACATATCTATGAATAATCGTTCACGCGTTTTCATTCGGTCCGTTTACCGGTCGTGCTTATGTTGTGCAATTATTAGAAAGAGACAGTGAAATAAATTGAGAGTTCATTGACCCTGCCAGGATATCAGCTGTTGATGCTCTGATCGGTGGATCTACCCGGTGACACAAATATTTTTTATCGAAGCTAGTTTTTTCATGAATCAATGGGTAAGTTTTATTTAAGTTGTTTCCGTATTGTTAAAATTATACGTACGCAGCAATTGATTCATTTCACTTCAATGAGGTACTGCATTAGATATTTTATTCCAATTTTATCCCATTTCGTAGGGAAGGTACTCATTCGTTTTGAAACGTGAATTTATTCATTTGCTTCATTAGAATAATTGACAGAATGAATTTTCGTGAATTTATTCTTTTTCCTTTTTGAAGGTTTAAAATAAATACAAGATACTTGGTCTGGGTAAACAACAACTAATTGGTTTATCTCCCATTCACGAATTACGAAGAACTTAATATTATTCTTAACTTCTTAATTCATTATTCAATTTAAGTTTCGCCTAATAGCTATATATATATATATATATACAGGGTGTCCCACAATTAGTGTAGGACCCGAAAAGGGGTGGTAGGTGGGGCGATTCTGAACAAAACAGTCCGTCAAACAGTCCATAAAGAATTTTTTCCTGAAGGACAGACAGTTAACACCGCCTACTAAGTGAATATGCTGGAAAGACTGCGAAAAAGGGTCGTCAGGACGAGAAAACACATCTCCGGTACTTGGATATTGTATCACGACAACGCGCCTTGCCACAACGCGCTGCGAGTACGTGAGCTTCTGACCCAAAACCAGATGTTGACGCTGCCCCAACCCCCCTATAGTCCTGACCTGGCATCGATAGATTTTTTTTTGTTCTCTCGGATCAAGACACCCCTGAAATGAACTCGTTTTTCGTCGATACAAAACATCCAAGCGGTCGTGACCGACCCCCTAAACGATGCGTACCGTTCATGGCAGAGTAGCTGGCAAAAATATGTAGAAGCCCAAGGGCAGTACTTTGAAGAATTTTGAGTATTTGTAAGAATTGGTTCAATAAATTCCTTTAAAAAAAATCATTCGCATTACTTTCGGAACACACCATGTACATCGCGACTGGAAAAGCATAAGTTAACCTTAGACGTCAAAATCTTTTTACACTAATTTACTTAAACTTCTATCATTGATAATAAGGTTATATTTTCAGATGAAAAAAAGTTTAATCTTGATGGTCCGGACGGTTATAATTCATATTGGCGAGATCTCCGAAAGGAACCACAATACTTTTAAAAAAAAATTTTGGCGAAGTGTTATGGTTTGGGGTGCCTTTTGCATTGATGGCATGTTGTAATTGACTTTTCCATCGAAAAACATGGGTAGTGATGAGTATGGGGGAATAATGTTATTGATGACTGTTAATTTCATATTTATATATTTAATTTATATATATTTAATAAACATAGTTTGAATTCTAAAGTTTAATGCTTATTTCTACGGCGCACTCCGCGGACATCTTTCACCCACTCTCACCGGTTCTTCTTCAATCTACCACACTCCTGCCAACCCAAAAAATATATCAGTCTTACCAATTTCACTCACTCAGCACTCTTACCAATCTCATTCATACAACACTCGTACCAACCCATTTTATTGTAAAAACTAACCTCACAATGAGTACACCAAAATTTTATCAGACAACCTGTTTTCTTTTATAAACGCACATGATGCAATTAATTGAATTTTTCTTGGACTTTCCAACAGGACAGCGCGACTGTACACATCAGTCGGAAAACAGTATCATGGTTGGAAAGAAACAAAATTAATATTATTAAATGGCCAGCATGTTCATCAGACCAAAATCCGATGGAAAATATTTGGGCCATTATTGTCCGAAAAGTTTATGTCGAAAATCGACAGTATGAAAATATTTTAGAACCAAAAAACGCAATACTAAAAGCATGTAGTGAAATTGGCCAACGAATTTTTCAGAAACTCGTTAAGAACATGCCAGATAGAATTTTCCAACTTATAACAAAACAAGGAGGCCCTACAAGTTATTAAAATCATATTTATGTGTATATATTTGACATTTATTGAGATGGTGCTATAGTTATGCAACGATGAATAATCAATTTTCATGTTATATTTTCTTATATAATAAAGTAATATCAACAAATTTTTACTGAAGTTCATTGTTCACTATACTCTTCAATTTCATATGGATGATTTTTATGTATTGTTATTCCGAAGTCAGAATCTACTAAAAATATAGGTGGTGCTATAGTTCTGCACCGCAGTGTACGTTACATATCAAGTTTAATGCTAAAATTTAATAATTTTGTATTGTAACAACACCGAACCACGGGGCGTTCGCGAAGCCGCAAGAGCGGGCCGCGCGAAGCAACACAACTTTGCTGATAAATCGCGAATCTCTAGCAACGCGGTAATATAAGTATCGGTTTCGTGGCCGCGAACGCGGCAGATACATGCAGTGCTTTATTGAGAGAGAACGAGGTAAATATCACGGTCGCCCATTAGAGTTTTTACTCTAATTTTTACTCTAGTTTTTACTCTCTTTTGAGAGTACGAAGCTTAGTTTTCGGATGCCTTATTCAGCACGAAAGAGTATGGGAATTCTATCCTGACTGTCCTCGCAATGGAGAGAACGGTTGGATTATGCATATAATTTTTCTATAACGTATAAAATCTACTTTAAAATATTATAAAATTGGACAAATTGAAATTTATGTGTTTCGTAAAACTACATTGACATGAATAAATTTATTATTTGTTTGTCCGGAAATTCTTCCTGTGTTTTCCCGAGCAAAATTGTTTCAACGCAAATTTGTCCTACAGTATATATTTTTGAATGCCAAATACAAATGCTAGTATTACGCATGTAAAGAATTATATTTTTATTACAAAATATGTACTGATATTTTCAAAGTATAATTTCTATTATCCAGTCATGCTGAAATTTTGCATTTATCACTTTTTCACCAAGTGTCAAAATTTTAGTGGGTGCAATTAAGAAAAATTGAAAATAAAAAAGTGAGGGCTACTCTAGTGCGCAATTGCCAATAGACAGCCGCGTCGCTCTCCGCCAGATACTGGTAGTGAATATGCCTGCAAGAGAGCCTGCTGGCTTCGCTGCATACATCCATGCCCGTTGACGTCGGAATGAGGAGCCGACGTGAGGTCCAGGTCTGGCAGGAGAGTTCTTCCAAAAGCTAAAGAATGATTCGTAGGGACGTCCATACAAGATTGTACTCGATTGATTACGACCATGGGTGCCCCGCGTGACGGAAACTCTGTACCCCCAGTTCATCGGCCGCGTGATTGAAACCCTCTTTCCCCCAGCTGTGGATGTTAGGCTGACGGCCTACCGGGCCGTATATTGGTATCGGTGGAGAAGCGGCGACTCCGAGAAGGCTTTATGTCTCCCCTTACAGAGTCGTCGCAGGGGCAGTGGCGTCCTGGGTGAGGACTCATGTAGTTCGGACACCGCTGTAAAGATTAGCTTGTTTTATGGGGGAGATCTCTACGGCTTTCCTCGGAATGATATTCAATGGCGCGGGGGCCCTAGTCATGCATCGTGGAAGGACCACTGTGAGGGTTTTAGTGGGCAAAAATTCCACATAACCCGGGGCGCGGAGTATCTTCAGAAGATTTCTCCACCGTAAAAAAGAAGGGGGG